TGTCACACTCAGCTTATAGCTAGCGGCTTCACTGCAGCACTGCGACAGGTGACATTTAGGGTTAATCTAAGGGTTAACATTAGGGTTAGGAACTTCATTCCTTTTGTACCCTAACCCTATACGTGAAATAACAATTAACCCTGGACATAATTGTACATTTATTTATTTTAACTAGGTGTCAGTAATCTGTCAATAAACAAAAATACTCCCTAAATTCACTCCAAAATGGGTAGAATTAATCAAACATTTAATTATGGCGGTGGAATATCAGAAAACAGGCAAATGTTTTTGATAATTAATTTTAAATAGGTTGTAAATGTGTGATACACAAATGTTTTATTGGATTTGTGAAGTAAACTTTAAAGTTTGTGATGAGTTGACAACAAACAGTTTGACGTGTATGTTTCTTACATTTAGTGCAAATTTAGAATATTCATCAAGCTGCAGGAGGTCACAGGCTGCAGGAGGACAGAGCTATCTCTCTGTCCTCCTGGAAAGTCTACCAGAGTTTTCTTCATGGCTACCCCATTTCCTCTCCTCTTGCACTCCTTCCCTCATTCTTGGGGACTTTAATATCACAATCAACAACCCTAACTGCTCTGATGCCTCTCATCTGCTCTCTATAACCTCCTTTTTTGGGCTTACACAGTGGTCCAATTCATCAACTCATAGAGCAGATAACACTCTTGACCTCATCTTCCCCATTCTCTGTACCACCTCAAATCTCTCCAGTGTTCCATTTTCTCTAGCTGACTACCATCTGCTGTCCATTGACATCTGCATACCCCGTACCTAAAGTACCTCACCCTCACCACATCAGTCTTGCAAAAATCTTCATTGTCTTGACCAACAGCAATTCTCCACCAACCTCCAAAGACTCCTTTCACCAATCTCCAATCTCACCTGCCCGAACACTGCAACCTCCCTCTAGAACTCTACTCTCTCCTCTCAACTATCATGTCACCTGCTACACTTAAATGCACTTAACACCCCCAATTACAACCCTGGCACACTAAGCTGACCTCTAAAAATATTCCAGAACTGCTGAACGCTGCTGGAGAAAGTCTCACTCTGTGCCTGATTTCCTCCACTATAAATTTGTGCTAGGCTTCTACAGTCAGGCTCTTTCCTCTTCAAAATAAAACTACTTCAATACACTCATAACTACACTCTCCCACAAGCCCAAACCACTGTTTCATGTTTTTAACTCTCTTCTTCGCCTTGTCGTGTCTCCTCCTCTTACCAACTTGACCCCCGCAAACTTTGCAACTCACTTCACTGTGAAGATTTCGACAATCAGGTTAGAGATATCTTATCTCTCTCCATCCACTACAAACAATTCCTCTAACCACACTCCCTCAGCTGTCCTACACTCATTTGCACCTGCTACAGCAGAAGAGGTTTCTGCTCTGCTACATTCCTCCCACCCCACCACCTGTTCCCTCGATCCTTTTCCCTCATATCTCATATGCACTTTGTCTCCTTCTCTTGCTCTGTCTCTCACTAAAATTTTCAATCTCTCCCTCTCCTCTGGCATATTTCCTCTACCCTCCAAACATGTAACCATGCCGTTGGTCTCCAAGATCCTTGAGTGAGTTGTGTATGCGAGATTGACAGACTTCCCCGAATCCAACTCTGCTTGACCCACTTTAATCTGGATTCCGCGCTCGTCACTCTGTTGAAACAGCTGTGACATAGGTATACAATGATCTTATCCCTGCTAAATCCCATGGCCACTACGCTATCCTAATTTTCCTAGACCTTTCTGCAGCTTTTGACACTATTGATCATCAACAGCTTCTTTTCATTCTCCATAATCTCAGTCTACTGCTCTCTCCTGGTGCTCTTCCTACCTCTTCCAGCGCTCATTCAGTATTTCTTTCTATGGCCCTGCCTCTTCTCCCCAATCCCTCAATGTTGGTGTTCCCCAAGAGTCTGTCCTTGGTCCCCTATTGTTCTCAATCTACACTGTCTCCCTTGGTAAGCTCCTTCGGCTTCCAGTATCATTTCTATGCGGATGACATGAAAATGTATCTATCCTGCCCTGATTTCTCACCACCCCTCTTGGCTTGTGTTTCTGACTGCATCTCTGCTATTTCCAACTGGATGGCTGCTCATTTCCTTAAACTGAACCTGTCCAAAACAGAAATTCTGGTCGTCCTTCGTCGCTCAAGTGATGCTACTCCCTTGTCTGTGTCCCTCCAAGTCAATGGCGCTACCATCCGCTCTACCTCTAAGGCTCATTGCCTAGGTGTTCTCTTTGACTCCAACCTCTTCTTCACCCCTCATGTCCAATCAATCGCCAAATCCTTCCTCTTCCATCTCAAAAAGATTGTGTG